AGGAGAGGAGAGGAGAGGAGAGGAGAGGAGAGGAGAGGGGGAGGAGAGGAGAGGGGAAGGAAGGGGGAGAGGAGGGGAAGAGGGGGAGAGGGGAAGAGGGGGAGAGGGGATGAGGGAGGAGGGGAGAGGGGGAGAGGGGGAGAGGGGGGAGGGGAGGCTCACGGCTGGCAAGCACAACGGTGGGGGCTGGAGCCTCTCTGGCCTCTGTGGCAGCACTAAGGATGTTCTGCTGGCTTAGGGCGGCTCCATCAGTCAGACATCCCCCGAGGGCTCCCAGGCTGTGAGAGGTTGCAGGCCAGGCTGAGGGAACCCCTCTCCCGAGTGCACAAATGTCATGCACCGGGCCTCTAGTACTATATATAATACTTTAAAATAGTACTATATATAATATTTTAAACAATAAAGAATTTTTTTAAAGACTTATTTATAGGTCTATGTTTTCTCAAATACTATAAATTGTGAAAGCTGACGTATATCAAAGTATAGCACTTTCTAAACAGGCTTGATACATAGTAATAAATAGAAAATAAAAGCTGGAGAGAAAAAGAGAGAGAGAATTGCTCAAACCCACACAGCCAGAGTGGCAGAACTGGTATTCAAATACAGACTCACTCTGAAGCTTAACTACTACACTACACATACTCAACTTTAAAGTTACAGTGTCTGAGACAAATAACAACATAAACAGTGCCTAAATATACCTGCAATCTCATGCTTATTTATTTATATTTGCCAATTACAGTTGACATTCAATATTATTTTATATTTGTTTCAGGTGTTAAATAGTACATAGCAGTTAAATACTTATATAATTTAGGAAATGATTCCCCCCAGTAAGTCTTGTACCCCCTGGCACCATACATAGTTATTACATTATTGACTCTATTCCCTATGCTGTACTTTACATCCCCATGACTATTTTCACACTTAATTTTTAAACAAATTTCTTTTATTCTTAGACTATATTTTTCTAAGTTTATTTGTTTTTGGTAAACACTTAGAAGGGATTCTGTGTCACTATAAAATCATAAGACTTTTTTATTATGCTATAGTAAGAAGAAAACTGTAAAATAATGTGAGGCTCAAGAATCACATGAAATGAACAAACTAAATTCATTTTCTGTTTCCTAAAACAAAGGTAAACATTCAAGAAAAACTTTAAAAGAGCATTAGAAATCTATTTTAATATGTGTGGTTTTTAAGAGTGTAGAAATTGTGGAGATGATAGAACATTCTACTCTCAGTACCATACTAATCAGCTCTGCACCCAAATACTAGGTTCTGCCCTTTGAGCCTGTGAACACCCAAGAAAGATAACAATTTGCTCAGAAGTTTTAAGTGTCCCCACCTCTGAGGATAAGCATTTGAATATGAAAGAAAAAAAGGGGCAAGGAACATTTTTTAAAAGAGCAAGGAAAGAAGATAGGTTTAAAACAAACAAACAAAAAGACGAATCTCCTCTCAGAGAGTATGGTCCATCCACATTAGAGAAAGGATTAAGCAGCTACATTCAGCTTTTCTAACAGATTTTTATTCTCTAAGGCTTCAATACCCCTCTCACACTCACTCAGATAATCACATTAGTTTTGTCATTAAAAGCTCCCTTTTCATTGAATGCACCTAAACTGGCTTAAACCACCCAGAGAGGTTGAATACATTACCAAACACTAAGACAAATGGAAGAGATTTTCCATTTTATGTCTTATTATTTCACAATATCTATCTGCATGCTCAGAAGGCTAAGCTAAAAGATTTGGCAAGTTATCAGCTAAAAAACATTTCCAAAATAAACAAACTCTGCTGCACCCTTTAAAACTGCTCTTTAAACTGAGATGAGAGCTAGTTTGATGCTGACAGAACAGTCAAGTGACAGAGGGGTTTTCTATTTCCCTTTTCTCTTCTTCCTGGTGTCCTATTGGCCAAGTCCATGATTATTTCTGCATAAATGTTGCAGCTTCTGTTAGCAGTAAACAAAGCAAATGGAATCTAAATGTGCAAAGCCCAAAGACAAATTAAAAAGAGTGATTCTTGAGTTGAGACGAAAACTTGCATTCAGTCGCTGCCTATGGATTCTTCAGAACTGTACATGGTCCAGACAGAAATGGAAATCACCTGCTTTTTTCCATAACTCAACTGTTACTTATTATCTCACTATAATAAGCCTGCATGGGATATAAAACTGAAACTCACAGGCACAGATAACAATATGAGGTGGTTATCAGAGGGAAGGGGGGAGGTGTTAGTAAAGGGTAAAGGGGGCTAAATATATGGTGATGAAAGATTATTTGACTTTGGGTGGTTGGCACATAGTGCAATATACAGATAATGTGCCATAGAAATGTACACTAGAAACCTATATAATCTTATTAATCAGTGTCACTCCTATAAATTTAATTTAAAAAATGAAATGGACGCTTTAAAGGAAAAAAGAAAAGAAAAGGATGGCTGTTTGTCAGCCCTTTAAAAAGGAGGAAGTGTATCAGAGGGAGGAGGAGTCCTGGTTAAATGGAACTATCCAAGTGAAAGAGCCGTCTCCAACTGAGTAATGTTCCAGGGATTAGTGGGTTGGGAGAACAGAGAAGGGGGTCAAGAAAGGAGAAATAGAATGAACAGTGAAAGAAAGTGATCTGAAGCTAAAAGTTTGGGAGGAAGACAAGTAGTGGAAAGATTCTGAAATCAGGATGAAACCGAAGACAGATGTAGTCAATCAAAGTTTCTCAAGCAAGAAACAGAGAGAAGTTTATTTTGGGTGCAGTTCAGACAAGAAACAGAATCATAAATGTATCATAAGCAATCAAAAATTTCTTAATATGTCAAAAGAAGGATAAAGTCAGTAAGAAATAATTGAAGAAAATTACAAGAACTAGTCCTGGATAAAAAAATAAAAATAAAAGATGATTTGGGACAGACACTAAGTTATTTTGCCCTAAAAAATAAATTTTTATACTGTATATATACAAAAGATAAAAGAAGGATTGTGCTAAATCAAAAACAGATGACAAAACATTTGAGATATATTCCGTTAAGCTTGAGTGATTATTTAAGAAAGAGAAAAAATGGAATATTTATTTACATTTAAGACTCAATAGAAAGATATCTCAAAAAGAACATTAAAGGAATGGGGAGAAAACCAAAGTTAGACTATTCACTGTTCCAAATCATAAACAAACGAAAAAAGTGTATCCTACCTATTTTTCTAAATCAGATTGGCAAACTACAGCCCCCAGGCCAAATCCAGCCCAATTCCTGTTTTATAAATACTAAGCAATATTGGAACACAATCATCATAATTCATTTACATATGTGTATGGCTACTTTCTGCTACTTTCTTGCTACACCTGTGACAGAAACCATATGGCCCACAAAGCCTAAAATATTTACTATCTAGTTCTTTACAGATATAACAAGAGAATTCCCCATGTTCTAACCATCTAACAATTCATTTGTTCTTCAGGTGGGCATAAAGATGCAGATGTAATTCTCACTTTGTATACAGAGTACAGAATTAAATCTGATAGCTGTCACACTATGGCCAGCAACCAACCCAAACCTTTAGTCAAGTCTTCTACTCCAGTCAATGTGCTAGATTAAATCCTAGGCTCTGAACAATGGGAGACCTGAGTTCAAATCCCACATCCACCACCCCCTTTGATGAGCTTAAATTTCCTCTCCATAAAACTGGGATTATATCTCTTTTTCTCACAGTTTTTTTTTGTGAGGATTAAATGAGATAGTGTATATGAAAGTGCTTTATAAACAGTAAAATGATAAGACATTATTACCACATAGACATATATGGAGACTGGTTCAGATTTAGTTTTTCTCATTATTTTGATTCATGAGAGAGATCTCCTCTTTTAAATAATTTTGTATTATCAAAATTCAATTTAATTCTGTACACATTTACCTCTGGCCTGCTATGTGCAAGACACCCACTAATCACTCCACTTTTTATTATTTATTTACTTATTTATTGATTTATCATTATTCTACTTTGTAGATAAAGATAAATATCTCTAATAGCAAATGACCTTGTTCCATTTCAGTTACAAAGTTTTAAGCAAGGTGTACATTTAATAGCTTAAAGGGACAGTTATATTAAAAGTGCTTTGAAACCTGGTTCTCATATTACCAATTCTATTCACATTTCCAAGCCCTCATTCTGGCTGTAGAGTCAGTCATATTCTCTATACTTAATAACCATCAAGTTGGCCGCTCTTTGCTTTTAAAACTAAGAGGAATGTTCTTTACAAATGAATGTTTTAAAAATAACACATACAATGATGAATTTTTGGTATACAAGAACCCTAAAATGTATTACACTTTCCAGAATGTTTTCACATCCAGTATTTTATCTGATCCTCAGCACAGTCCCATGGAGAATTAAGTACCATTATTCCGTTCTGCAGAGGAAGACATGGAGGCTCGGAAGAAGAGAGCCTTGCCCAAGATCACACAGCTGCTATCAAAGATTCAGTCAGTGTTTTTTCCACTCTATCTTGCTGCATGTGGATCACCCCTTTATGATGTATGTAGCACTTAGAATACATAAGTAGTCAACTGAATCATAGTTTGTTATGAGAGCAGCTTCTACTCATTAAACACTGACCATATATTATATAGCTCTATGTGTCTCACATACATCACAAAGATTAAATAAATTGAATATGCTAAGTGCATAGCACAGGACTTGACACATAATAATTATCCCATTAACAGCAACTATTGGTCTCATTTCTAATTTGTATAACTCTGTAATCTATGCATTTTATCTCCATTATTCATATGAAGAAACTGAGGTTCCAAAAAGTTCAGTCACATGTCCAAGGTTGAGTAACCAGAAAGTGACAGAAGCCAGGATTCCTGCCCAGATTTGAGTAACTCCAGAGCCCCTTTGTCACTGAGATTTCCATTGATACTGGACGTCAGAGAATGCACACACACAAAAATGGAAAAGTATGTTATTGAAAGTGATTGAGGAAAGGACATTTTCCTGTTACCTTGATTGGCCAAGCAGGCAAAGGCTGTAAAAAGTTAGATTCGTAAGGGTAGTCCACCATTGCCAGATTTACCCAGGTTTCAGAGATCCAATCTTTCAAATGCTGAACATCATGAGCATTTTTTAATGGTGTACATAAGTGAAGGGCTTCAGAAAGCCAATCCAAGCCAGTACCTGTGAATGGTGAAACATAAGAAGCACTGCTCAACAAAAGGTTTTGTAGATTCTTCATTTGATATTTTAGAAAACTCAACCTTCTACACCACTTCTCCAAGAATATTTTTTCAACATCCATAAGATGTTTTCAGAGCAACTGCATAATCCCAGATAGACAAGTTGCCTATCCTCTGGAGTTTACCAGAATGCATACTTTTAATTAGTCCCTATTTTAAAGATACTATGGAAATGAATAAAAAATCAAGTGGAACTTTTCTATAGTATAGAGCAATGAAAAGGCACAAACTAAAACTAAATAAAACAAATAGATGTGTCTGACAAATACAGCATTGACAAAAGACAGCACACACACAAAAAAAGACATACTATGCAATTCCAATGACTAAAAAATTCAAGAGCAAGCAAAATCAAGTTATGGTTTTAGAAGTCAGTATAGTGATTAGCCTGGGAAATGCCAAGATAGTGACTGGAAAGGGCACAAGAAGACTTCTGAGAGGATTTCTTGATCTAGATGCTAATTACACAACATATTTGCTTTATGAAAATTCATCAAGCTATGTATTTTGATTTGTATGCTTTTCAGAATGTTATATTTAAATATGTACATTATACTTAAAAGTTTCTAGAAAATGTGGGAAATGTTGAATTTAACAAGTGAAAGGCAAAAAAAAAAAAAAACCACCACATTATTTCATTCTCTTAATTAAAGCTTACCATTTCTTGTGAGTCGATTAATGGCATCCCAGGACCTTTGGATGCTCTCTGAACAATTTGGGCCACTTCTCTTAAAATCCTTAGTTACAATTTTCATAAATACACCACAAGGTACTATATCTTCAAACTGCCAGATAGGGGCAGAGGCTGCAAGAGCTCTAAATGGTAATAAAATAATGAAAGAGAAAAGACGGGAAAAAGAAACTCATCAAATTCAAGTTTTTATTTGTTAGTTTTGTTTTAATTCTCACCCGAGGACATGTTTAGAGAGAGGAAGGGAGACAGAGAGGAAAAGAGAAATACTAATCTGTGATGTTGCCTTCCCTATGCTCCCTGACTGGGAATCAAACCCCAAACTCAGGTATGTGCCCTGATCGGGAACCAAACGGACAACCTTTCGGTGCATGGGAGGATGCTCACCCAACTGAGCCACCCACCCCTGCCAGGCCAAATTCAAGTTTTAAATTTGAAACTGATTCTGAACAAAAATAGTAAAAAAATAACAGTTGTAAATGAGAAAGAAACTAGGAATCTCAGTACAATAGAATGGTACATGTTTTACCCAAAACAAATCTCTAAGTTTGCCTTGACAACCATTAAGAAGTACTCATGTCCAACATAAATGCATTTACCCAACCACGATATGAGGATATTTCATCCTGAACCAGGCTGCAAGCATGCCACCATAAGAGCCCCCCAGGGCAATGAAAGGTTGATTTTCAGCTCCTGGAATTGTCCTTTTCAAGTGTTTGATTAACTCTGCAAAATCAGCTAGAGCTTGTTCCGATGTCAGAAAATTCAAGTGTCTGGAATCCTAAAGAAAAATAACAAAGAACATGGGTATAAATGTGCACATAATAGCAGCTTAGGCATAGCACAGATCCAGTAAACAGCCAGAGTCAGATAAGCTTTTCTCCAAATAGAATTTCTAGGCAGTTGAGTTAAAATGCATAGTCAAAGTCATAGCAATGCTGATGTAAAGTAATTTTAAGTTTGTGGCAAGAACATAATGTATTTGCATTCAAATATAATTTCCATTAAATGCTATTTACCAAAGACCTTGTTGAGGTTGTAGAAACAATAGAAATAAACTGCAAATAATATTTAACAACAAATGTGATGGAATACAATACTAAACTTAAGGCAACTGCTGTATTACAATTTTATTTTAAATCTTCAAACATTTACAACAGGCAAAGGTAAACTAAATCCTGTGGAAAACTAAAGAATCATTAGTAAATATAAAATCCATCCTTCTTTATCAGAAAAATTATTTGTTTGTTTGTTTACTGTATTTTTATTGATTTCAGAGAAGAAGGGAGAAGGAGAGAGAGATTGAAACATCAATGATGAGAGAGAATCATTGATCAGTTGCCTCCTGCATGCCCCCTACTGGAGATCAAGCCCATAACCTGGGCATGTGCCCTGACCCAGAATTGAACCATGACCATGTGGTTCATAGATCAATGCTCAACCACTGAGCCACACTGGCCGGGCTGTTTGCTGTTTTGTTAATCCTCACCTGAGGATATTTTTCCATTGCTTTTCAGGGAGAAAGAAAGAGAGAGACACATTGACTGGCTACTTCCCACACGCACCCTGACCAGGAGTGGGGAGTGAACCTGCAACCCAAGTATGTGCCCTTGACTGGAATTGAACCCGAGACCTTTCCATGCATAGGCCAACACTCTAACAACTGAGCAATACTGGCCAGGGCAGAAAAATTATTATTATGTCTAATATACCAACAACTGAAACAAGTTAGTTTGCCTGATCTAAATAACATAAAATTAGAGTTAAAAAACAACAATTATGGAGCAACTATTTTCAGGCATTGGAAAACAGAAACACAAGACCTTGATACCTCAGAAAAGGATATTCATAAAGTAAGTGCCATGATCATCTAGCTCTCTGCCTAGAGCAGCCGTGGGCAAACTACGGCCCGCGGGCCGGATCCAGCCCGTTTGAAATGAATAAAACTATTGAAATAAAAAGACCATACCCTTTTATGTAATGATGTTTACTTTGAATTTATATTAGTTCACACAAACACTCCATCCATGCTTTTGTTCCGGCCCTCCAGTCCAGTTTAAGAACCTATTGTGGCCCTCCAGTCAAAAAGTTTGCCCACCCCTGGCCTAGAGTCTTATTACACTAGGGCAGTGGTCGGCAAACTCATTAGTCAACAGAGCCAAATATCAACAGTACAACGATTGAAATTTCTTTTGAGAGCCAAATTTTTTAAACTTAAACTATATAGGTAGGTACATTGTTATTAATTTAATTAGGAAGAGCCACATTCAAGGGGCCAAAGAGCTGCATGTGGCTCGCGAGCCGCAGTTTGCCGACCACGGCACTAGGGAAACTAATGAGATATCTCCCTTTAAAAGCTGAACACTAATTCCTCTCCCTTTGAACTTGGGCTGAACTTAGTGACTTGCTTCAAAGAAATAGATTGTGACAGAAGTGATATGTGACTTCCAATGTTAGGTCATAAAAAGCACTGTAAGTTTCACCTTGCTCTCTTGGATTGTCAACTTTGAGGGAAGCTAGTCGCCATGTCATGAAGCCATTCAAGTAGGCCTTTGGAGAAATCCAGGGAAGATAAACTGAGGCCTCTTGCTAACATCCAGTACCAGGTTGACACTAATGTGATCCTCCATAAGTGGAGAGGGACCTCCAACCCCAGTCAAGCCTTCGGGTGACTAATGCACCAGCTGACATCTTAACTTCACAAGACCCCCTGAAACAGAACCACCTACCTGAGCCACTCTTAATTCCTTACCCACAGGAACTGTGAGATAATGTTTATTGTTGTTTTAAGCCACTACGGTTTGAGGTACATTGGTACATAGCAAAAGATAACTGATACAGCTGTATACCTATATTAGGCTATTTGACCCTCATACTTTGGTCTCACCACTCTGACTCCTTCCATCATTTGGTACATTTGGAATCACATAGTTCCCATCTTTCCTATGTATGTCACCCACTCCTTTAGCCTTCTGACTTCTTAACTCCCCTCTCATTGCCTATCACTATTCTTTACGTGTTTTCATGGAATTATACATATTTATATGACATTTTTTTCCAATCCTTGCATAATATTTGTAATATCCTACAGGCAACTGACAAATTCTGTGAGCACACTAAAAGAAAAAAATTATTAAAGAGAGCTCTTAGCTCCATTTAACTAACAAAGTATGAACCTCCTAAGAGAGGAGGTTATGTTTCTATCTGCAACAAGCTGACTACTTCCCAATGATTTCAGGAACTGTCAACTCCCCTAATCAGATAATTATGCAAAATAATAAGCTAAAATATATAGTTTCCCATGCAAACCAACAAATATCAACACATTGTTCTGCTTTTCATTTATAACATGAAGACGTTTTGTTTATTTATAATACAAGGTAATAAAACCTCTGAGAACAAAAATAAAATACTCCTTTCAAAACAGGCAGCTGAGAAAAATAATTGACCCCAAGTTCTTCTAACTTAGAGTTCCTCAAAAGCATGGTATGTGTATACTGTTGGCATGTATGATGATCTTAGGGTTTACACAAACACTTTAAATGTAATACTTGTTTTAATATAATTTAGAAAAAATAACTGGTACATAAAACCCTTGTTAGTGTTAACTTTGAAAAGTGAGCTGTTTAAAGAAAAATATGAAATAAATAATAATGCACATGGCAAAATAATATAGCCAGAATCACAGGATATTACAGGAATGACTCAGTTGAGGAAAAAGGGCCCTGGTTTATTAGGTGTAGAGTCTATGGCCAAGGCCAAAGCTCCTTATGAGAACAGGAAAGGCCAAAAGGGAATCCAAGTGGCCAATTGGCCACACTGAATCGTAGAGATTGTTTGTCCTTATTTTACTGAAAAACACCTTATTAAACAAACATTTCAGTTCCCATTATATTTTTTCCAATGGTAGACCCAATATTTTAAGTGTATAATTTGCTGACATTTTTGAAACAATGAAAAGTTCCCTCCACAGTCTCTGGAGCCATAGATTAAGGTTTGCCTGAGGAAGGCTAGCCTCATCACACTGAGTTAAAAGCTGATCAACATTAGAAATGATAATAATATGGTTTTAAAGAGTCTCAATCTGTTCAAACTGTATATAAAAGTGAAAGATTAAGTATAAATTATTGAAATTTTAGGTAGTTCAAGTTAAAGCTTTCATTTCTTTCTTAAAAGAAAAATGTTCTAAAATTTTAAAAACTTTTAAACTTAAAAGTAAAAAAGCATACTTACCCGGAATGCGTCGGCACCAAAGGGTAGAGACTGTCCATAGTATCTATGTTCAGCAAACACCAACATAGCTTTCAGTTCCTCAGCCACATCCCACATGAACCCCTAGAAAGAATTTACAAATTCAGAGGATAATATCAGGATATGAAAAAAGTTATTAAACCTTTTTGCAACTCATATGAAACCGATGTTAAATAGACCAAAAAGAACTCTCTGAGAACCACATAATTTACGTTTGTTCTACAGATAAATGATATCATTGCTGTTTCACTGTTGCACAACAATCTCACTGTATTAAAGTAAAACAATTAAAAATAAGCCCAAGTTGCTCAACCACAACTCATTTCAACTCTCCTTATTCTGACACTCTAGTCATAGAATCAACATTATGTCTAAAATAGTCTTCAAGTTGTACTGTGTGCCAAATAGTCTAAGAAAGAGCTGAGGATGTCTCATTCCACGGCCTACTCATTTACAACATAAAAGAGAAAAGAGTACAAATAAGCATACTGGACTCATTTGCGTTTTATATTAATCTTATTTACTTGAAAATAAATAGTAACTAGTTTGGGGGGTAATAGGGAGATAAGGACACATATGTAATACCTTAATCAATAAAGAAATTTTAAAAAAATAAATAAATAGTAACTAGCAATAGCTAATATTAATTGAGTGCTTACAACGTGTCAGGCACTGTTCTGAACACTTTATATGTATCAATTCACTCAATTTGCACAACAATCTAGAGCAGTGGTTCTCAACTTTCTGGCCCTTTAAATACAGTTCCTCATGTTGTGACCCAACTATAAAATTATTTTCGTTGCTACTTCATAACTGTAATGTTGCTACTGTTATGAATCGTAATGTAAATATCTGATATGCAGGATGGTCTTAGGCGACCCTATGAAAGGGTCGTTCCACTGCCAAAGGGGTCGCAACCCACAGGTTGAAGAACCGCTGATCTAGAGATATGCATTTTGATTATTGCCATTTTACAGACAAGGTCACTGAGGCACAAGAGTTTAAATAACCTGGGTTGCAATATTTGCTTATATGTGTGTCTTACCCAACCAGCCTATGAGCTGCTTAAGGGTAAGGGCCATCCATCAAAACAGTCGGACCCTCTGTGGAGTTAACCCCAAGTTTGCAAAGAAACAATTTAATTGGACTGATTCACACTGTAATAAGTGATTAATTCGCCTTAACTTCAGGGGTATTTTTATTTTTCAAAAGAGGTCTATGTAATATAGTAACATTTAATAAAATTATGTGGCAGCATTGCTCTAAGTGCCTGATTCTTATTTAATTCTCACAATAACTTTACAGACATTATTACCATACCCATTTAACAGACGAGAAAACTGAGGCAAAATCAAAATTCAAGCCTTATCAGTCTGGCTGAAGTCTTCATTCTTGACTACAATGATATACTGTCTCTCCATAAATGAATTACCAGACTATGTGAATATGCAACTGGAACATTTTAGTAAGTAAAGGACCCAGAATCCATCTTTCTAGAATTTGGCTCTAGTCAGTTCTCTGAAACTGTTCCTACACTATCTATTCCTTTCTACCACTTCTGAGGTCAGAGATTCTCCAGCAAGCCTTCAATCATACCGCAGTGTCAGTGAGGGAAGTGGTGGCAGTGGTGGCCTTAGCATAAAAGGGAAGTCACACAGGAAAAAGAAAGGGCTACAAGGCAGACTCGGTTGTTTCACAGAAAACCAGAGCAGGAATCTGACAGAAAATAAGTTCTGATTTCATTTGTCTCCGATCTAAGAGAAACAGACATCCTAGCATCTCATTTCTCAGAGAATTATTTTATTTTCAAGTAACATATTTAGACTCTTAACATTCCTAAGGAAATTATCATAAATGTGGTGTGCAAATAACACAGTATGATTGGGTTCATACCTTTGCTTTCAATTCAGTTCAGTTCAACATTTACTGAGACCTCCTGAATACCAGGCACCATGCCAGACAACAGCAGTGGAAAAAACATGATTTCATCCCCACTTTAAGGTAATTCACAGATTAGGTTTTGGGTAGAAAGTTGACATTTTCTTGTCATAGCTCTGGCACATTATAAAGGAAAATTTCATGTGTCCTAAATTAAGTTTTGTTAATGGACTTAAGTATTATTATAAAAGATAATACAAAACATACAAAGGAAAGCAAGCTAACAACTATACCATTTTGACCCTCATAAACATAAGAAAAATGGTAAAACAGTGAAGCCAAATTAAAATATAGCTATAACTTTACCTTTGTCCATTCCTATTTGACAATTAAACTTGTATTTTTATTTGCTTTGATCAGGTTTTATTCATTCACTCATTTAACAAATATTTATTTAGCACCTACTATATACCTAGCAGTCCTGGACTCTGAGAATATAATACTGAATATACAAAAATATGTGCCTTTGTATTTACATTCCAGAGACCATAATAAAAGTAAAATAACTGTATGCCATAACATTCCTGTTCCCATTTTCTTAATATTTTTATTCATTCAAAAAAGAAGGTAGGGTTTCAAAAAAAATTTTTTTTAATTCAACTGTCTAAATATAGTATTTCATTATTTCATGTGAAATTCTTTAAGGCAAAATATGCAGGCTTAGTGGACATCAGTATTTATTCTTTTGTGAACTGCCTATTCATGGTATTTTGGGTTTCTTTTCTATTTTTTTCTATTGAGTTTATCTTCTTGTTATTTTTTTTTAAAGAGCTTCACAATTAAGGACAATAATACTTGGTCATATATGCTGCAAAATACTTTTCCAGTTTATCATGATAAATAGAGCATAGGAACTTCACAAATCTGCACATACCGTATTGTTGCAAAACCAGATAATGTCCCCTTCGTTACCAGTGTAGAAAAGTATTGATCCACCCTCTTTCCTCCAGTGTTGATCAGCTATTAGGTACCGCTGATTAAAAGTCTTATCATTCTTAAATCCAAAATGATCAATCTATGACAAAAACAAAAACAGACAAGACACATATTTCAAAGAAAAGTGATTAAATGAGATAAACAAAAAAATAATTAAATGTATTCTTCTATTAAAATCAACCTAAGGTACAAAAATTATACTTCATTTGATTTTACTATTAGTAGTAATATTGATAGTTATTTTTTATATTGTAAGATGAAACAAATTATTTTCTTTATATTGCAAGATAGCAATGTTGTTGGTGGTCAAGATTTTCAGTATAAGGGAAAAGATACAATTATAAAATCAAATAGCTACTTTAAAACACATTGATGTTAAAATTAAATTGGAAATACTGACGTGAACCCATTATTTTTTCTAAATTTTTATTGGGGTGGTACTGGTTATAAAATTATATAGGTTTCAAGTGTACAATTCTATATTACACCATCTCCCAAAGGTAAGTCTCCCGTCTCCATTTATCCCCCTGTACCTTCTGCTACATACTCCCCCACCCCCTTTCCCTCTGGTAATCACCATACTGTTGTTTGTGTATATGAGTTGTTGTTTCCCACCCCAGCCCCTTAATCCCTTCACCTTTTTCATCCAAACCCCCAAACCCCACCCCTCTGACTGTTGTCAGTCTGTTTTTGTATTTATGATTCAGTTTCTATTTTGTGAGGCCATTAATTTTTAAAATCTCATTATCCAAACTTTCAAAATATCACAATTTAAAAACAAAATAGACCACTGAAAAGGTCTATAAACATTGTCACCCCAGTAACACTTGATATTTCAAGGGCCAGGATTTTAGTGTCTAATACCATTCCCCAATAAAAGGAACTAGGGCTTGTTAGTGATGTGTCTGACTAACATTTGGGTCAAGGAAGCTAGTAAATGAAGCTATGTCTCTTGCTGTTCAAGGAAGCAAGAAAGTGCTCAAAAATTAATGGAGTTATGTCTAACAGGCATAGGAACCAACTAGAAAAGATTATCACTGGGTAAAGTTTTAACAAATTGAATATAAAACAAACTGAGCATAAAGAGAATAATAGTAGTTGATCAAAATATTCAATTCATGAAAATCCATTAGTCCATAAGGGTATCAAAGAAGAGAAAGCAAGAAAAATATGCATTTGTTAGCATTTAAGGTGTCTATTAAACCAACTCCTTTGAAATTGGAATACAAAAGAGTAAAGAACTCAACATTTAACCTGCCTTTTCCAAAGAATTGTATTTCGGTGTACCAAATAGTCCCAGTTGATGAAAAAGAACTCTGTTCAATCAAATGTCAGCTATTGCAGAAGCAATGACAGAAATAGAAAAATCATAGTTTTGTAATCCCTAATGAAGTTACTGACTCAGGTAAAAATTACCAAATGGTGCTAAAAGCATTAGGAGAGTGAATGATAGAGAAATGAACATTCATATTAGTGCCAAAGTAATATCATAGAGAATACTGCATTTTCACAAAGGGAAAATGTAACTTCACAATGGAAGGATCAGGCTAGCATCACCTTAATCTAGTTATCAATGTGAGTGAGCATCACTAACAGTGAGATAGGCAGGGGTTCTGTATTTCTTCCCATGGTACAACACGAAGCACGAATCACCTATGATGAATTCTTTTTTGTTTTTTTCTGCTAAATTGCCCTTCAAAAGACTTTATCAATTTACATTTCTACTAACAGTCTATGAATGCCTGCTTCCCTACATCTTCATCAACACTGGATAACATTAGTCTTTAAGATTTTTGCCAATCTGAAGGGCGTAAAAACATTTTAAAAAGCAAATTCTTGATAAATTACTGAGTTTGAACATTTTTCCAGATGTTTACTTGCAATTAATATTCCCTTTTTTAAAAAATATATATATATTTTATTGATTTTTTACAGAGAGGAAGGGAGAGGAATAGAGAGTTAGAAACATTGATGAGAGAGAAACACCGATCAGCTGCCTCCTGCACACTCCCCTCTGGGGATGTGCCCACAACCAAGGTACATGCCCTTGACCGGAATCGAACCTGGGACCTTTGAGTCCACAGGCTGACGCTCTATCCACTGAGCCAAACTGGATAGGGCAATATTCCCTCTTTTGTGAATTGCTTATTTGTAGCCTTTGTCCACTTCTCAATTGGAATATTGGTGTTTTAATTAGTCAGTTTGCAAGTGTTTTTTGTTTTTTTTTAAATCCTCACCCAAGGATATTTTCCCATTGATCTTTTAGAGAGAGAGTAAGAGAGAAGGAAAGACAGAGAGAAACACATTGGTTGCCTCCGCATGAGCCCTGACTGGGGCCCAGGTGGGGAGGAGCCTACAACACAGGTACCTGCCCTTGACCAGAATTGAACCTGGGACCCTTGGGTCTGTAGGCCAACGCTCTATCTACTGAGCCAAACCGGCTAGAGCTGCAGGTGTTCTTTATAGAAATTATGGATATTAAGTCTATGGCTGTTTTTGCTTACCTCGACTTTATTTAAAGTATTATTTGCTGTGTGAAGTATTGGAGGAGGGCCACCTTTCTATCAAGCGTTATGTTCCTGTGTGGAAGGAGGTCTACCTTCCCATGTGGAAGGCTCCTGGCCTCTTGCCCCACCTTCTAGGTCTTCCTCAAGGGAAAGAGAACAACTCGACTTGTTGAAAACTTTGGCGAAAACACTCAGCTCAGTCCCATCCTCTGTCCTCTCTGTGAAAACGCACTCATCCTTCTCTGTTCCTCCACACCATGAGTGTTACAGGGGCAAGCCCTCACAGGCTGACCTCAGGGGTGAAATATCAGCAAACCTGCTTCCCTAGCAGACCCCAGCCACGTGGTCCAGTATCAGTTGTGGTGGTAATAAGAGTAATATTTATATTTCCATCTGCCACACTCCTGTGTCTATCTCTTAATAGGTTCTTGTGTCAGTTATACTCCAAACAGAAAACAGAAGGCACATTCAAATTAGAATAATTCAGGAGACTTAATAAAGGGACTATTTACGAAGGTGTGGGCAGAGCATAGGGGAGATAAGCAGGATAGTGCAGCAACCTATGGGAGGTACAGCAGAGCTTTTACCACTCCTAGGCCTAAAAGGGTGAATGGGATGGGGCATGGCTACTGAAATCCAGAAGAGGATCCTGTAGAGCTAGCTGCCCTCAGATGAGGGACACAGGCAGCTTGAGTCAGCGTGCAGGGAGGAAGCCAGAGAAACAAATACCCTGACGGTTCTCTTCTTCCCCTCTGTCACCAAGAATATAAACTTCGGCCGAAACCGGTTTGGCTCAGTGGATAGAGCGTCGGCCTGCGGACTGAGGGGTCCCGGGTTCGATTCCGGTCAAGGGCATGTACCTGGGTTGCGGGCACGTCCCCAGTGGGAGATGTGCAGGAGGCAGCTGATCGATGTTTCTCTCTCATTGATGTTTCTAACTCTCTATCTCTCTCCCTTCCTCTCTGTAAAAAATCAATAAAATATATTTAAAAAAAAAAAAGAATATAAACTTTAAGCTACATAAACATAGTTTCTTTCCAAAACCTAATGGCTTAGAATACTAGGGGCATTGTGCCCTCTGCTGTTGAGAATTGGAACCTACATGCCACTTCCAACTCTGCCTCCTGAAGAGTTTTATAAATCACATGAAAGGGGACAAGGGCCTTCGAAACTATTTGATCTGTGTTGTTTAGCTGAAGAAACTAGGCTCAAAGGTCAAGTGACTTTGCACAAGTCAGAAGCAGAGCTGTAACTTCTAATTATTTTTGTAATTTGGTTTATGTGGTCTAAGAAATTTTAAAGAGATGCTTCCGTCCTTTACCTTGCAGAGGAAAGATCATGAGATGAGCAAGGTACAAAAAGAACATTCTTTAAATAAAGTTCATTGTGACAAAAATAATGATCTGGACTTGAGAACTCAAAAATGAAGTTCACATACAGAAAAGCCTATGAGAACATTACATCTGGTAGACACAGTTTTGGTGGCAATTTCGGAACAACAGGGGTAAGGGGGACAGAGTATCTACTATGTGCCTGGCACCATGCTGGTGCTTTCCACAAATCACTCTCATCCTCCCAGTCACCCTCTGGGGCACTTTCATTATGCCAGTATTACAATAAGGATGTTGAAGCTCAAAGAGGTCAGATAACTAGACCAAGGTAACATCCTATATAATAAAAGGGTAATATGCAAATCAACCAAACAGCAGAAGGACCAGTAGCTATGATGTGCACTGACCAACAGGGGGCAGATGCTCAACGCAGGAGCTGCCCCCCAGCCACAAGCCAGGCTGATGGCTGGCGAGCACAGCGGCGGTGGCAAGAGCCTCTCCAGCCTCCCGCAACACTAAGGGTGTCCCACGAGGGCTCCCAGACTGCTAAAAGGCACAGGCCAGGCTGAGGGGACCCCCATCCCCCCACCCCCGCCGCCAAGGGCATAATGTCGTGCACTAGGCCTCTAGTAACTAATAAATAAAATTCAAATACAATTATTTTTCATATGCTTTTATCCCCTAACCAATCCTACCTACAACAAAAGCCTGCTTTTGTCAGTATTACACTATTGTAGACAGGGACTGAGTACAAAGTTCAAACTTTGTTAAGAGACACTAGGGTATCTGTCTCCTAAATCTGCAAAATGAAGAACATATCCCCCAGCCATTTACTAATGGTTACACTGAAGAATATGTAGAATATCAGTGTTTTCAGTGACCTGACTCAGTAATTGTTACTATACTGCTACTTTTAACTCATTTAATTGGGCCACTGATAAGAAACAGAATCACATTGACTCTCACTCAGTAGCCTTTAGTTTTAGAAACTCAGTATACAATTGGTTTTATCTATGGACACAGATATATGATAACAGCTAAGTGAAATTTTACTAAAGATATGAAAAGTATACTCAGAGATATACAGGACAAAGAAATGGACTCACTCCTCCAATAAATCAAAGCACCTTGAAGGAGGGCACTCTGGTTTCCATTTCTAATCCAGAAATGCGAAAATGAAATAAGATCCTTTTTCTTCCATTTAATATGTGTCCTATATTAATTCTGGAACTGTGTCGCAT